AGCGGTTGTCCACTTGATCCGCTTGATCCGCTTTATCCACCTCACTAACGGTCACGCTGAAATGACCAATGATGAAGCGGATCGCGCGGATCAAGTGGATTAAGCGAACCAAGTATGGCGCGTGCCTTAGACAGACAGGTGACATAAAGAAAAGACGGTCAGGAGTTGAGGATCACCGGGAAGCTATGCAAAAAGGTGGAAAATGCTCGTTCGTGAACTTGTGCCCACTCCCCAGCCCGGATGTTCATAAATGAAGCCCTAGTAACCATCACTCAGCGGGCGAGAAACTTCTTGAACGTAAACACTTAATCGAAAATAGTGATAAGAAAACTGGAACTAACACCAAGATGACCCACCGCCTGCACAATTTCATTAATCTGCCTCTGCATTTCCTCCGAGTTTTCTTCGGGTTTACCCTTTCCCCGCGCATTCGGTCCGGCACGAGGACGTTGACGAGGTCTTCGAGTAGCAGTGTTGACGTGGCTTACGCTGGCGTTGGTTGGGCCGCCACCTGGCGACATAAGCAAACCTTCTCCAGATTCATTTTCAGATTCTAATCGCATGGAAGAAGCTTCATTCCCGGTCTGCTGAAGCACGTTTTGGAGAAGCTCCTCGATATTGACAGGATTATCCCCCACGGCTGAAATTTTACAGATCCGGTAAAAAGGCGCAGAAATAACGCATAAATTACGACTTACAATGTAAAGCCTCGATGAGTTTGTCACCGAAGGGACGCACTGCACGTATCTTACCCTCAAGCATTGCAACCTAAACACAAGGGTGATTGGAGAGACTAAATTGATCAACAACTCACTTCTGTTTCGTAGCAGGAAACGCGCTGATTAAGATCCTTATGATGCGCAACAATCTGTTTAGATCTACAATAAATGAATATGGTTGCAAAACGAGTCTAACAAGGGAACAAGAAGATGGAGTTTATCTCACCCTTGAAGCAATTCCGTGGGTGTTTCCACATCACTCATCCCCAGATCGTTCAGTCTCTCATAGAGAGCATTAACACCCTGTGACCTCTGAGCGGCCACAGCTGCATTTGCTTGGCGAACTCTTTCTTGTAGTTCCGCATTACGAGCCTAGACACTGAGAATTTTGACCGAACTGCATTCGAAAAATCCCACAGGCTTACCTTCTCAAAAGCAATGTCTTTTTCCAAAGAAGCAATAAAACTGTCGGTTCTCATGTAATCGATGAACTGCATGTACTCATTCATGAAGTTCACTAGGAACATACAAGTATAGGAAGGTAAAACACACTTGAGCACGTTCACCCCAACAAAGGCCTCTGATTAACTGGTTGCACAAGTCTGCTGCAGCACGTTGCTCTGGAGCGGAAAAATGCTCCAAAAGGTGAATGCTGCGGGGTCACAGGCTCATCAACCTTAGCGCCTGC